ATCAGAGGTCAGGGAAGCAGATCCTATGATGTCAGGCTGAGAGCCCTGGGGCTCTTTAGCCTGGAAAAGCGCAGGCTCAGGGGTGATCTGATGGCCACCTACAAGTTTATCAGGGGTGACCACCAGTGTGGGGGAACGTTTGCTCACCAGAGCGCCCCAAGGGATGACGACTAGGTTGAATGGTCATAAACTATGACAAGACTGTTTGAGGCTGGACATAAGGAAGAATTTCTTTACTGTCCAAGCCCCCAAGGTCTGGAACAGCCTGCCACCGGAGGTGGTTCAAGCACCTACATTGAACACCTTCAAGAGCAAACTGGATGCTTATCTTGCTGGGATCCTTTGACCCCAGCTGACTTCCTGCCCTTTGGGCAGGGGGCTGGACTCGATGATCTTCCGAGGTCCCTTCCAGCCCTAATGTCTATGAAATTTAAAGGGGCAGAGCAGGCCTTAAACTTTGTGTTATGCATATAAGCCAGAAGGCTGAGAGACTCAGGAACCATCCACCGTAACATGGGACGCCAAGGGGTCTATGAACCACAGGGTTCAGTAACATCTAGCCAGACCGTGTCTAAACCCAAAGATCAAGGGCAGCCTCTCTATATCGATTATACAAACAAGACGTGGCAGATGAGATAGAGGGTGCCTGTAGGACAAGACTGGCAGGGTTAAGGAACCTAGGGCTAACACGGTCACCCCTAGGGACCCCACCCTGCTACACCTTGAATCTCCCCGAATTGAATCGGAACCCTCTGAATCGATTCGGACATAGAGACTTTAAATGTTTTTTCTATATACCTCTAGGTAACAGGGGCTCATGAATACTGTGATGCTGGGGCGCCTGGAGTGTCTCACAGAAGCATGGGGGGCTCCCCAGCATGCTCGGCAGCAGACCTGGAAGTAGACCAGAAGTACTTTTGGTCCACTTCTGGGTCTGACAGGAAGCACGTGGAGGGCTCCCCCACAGCCCTCTGGCTCGGTGACTGGTGCCTCCTGGGTCTGAGGGGGGCACCTGGGGTCCCCCTACGGCTGATCACCAAGCCGGGGAGGCACAGGTGGGCCCACAGCTCGCTCCCCGGCTGACTTGGAAGTGAACTGGAAGTACTTCCTTGTACTTCCAGTCCACTTCCAGGTTCACCGCTGAGCACGTGGAGGGCCCCCCTGCACTCCTGTAGGATCCTCCATGCACCCCAGCATTGCAACATTCCCGAGCCGTGCCTGCTACCTCAAGGTATGTAGTAAAGACTTTTAAAGTTGTGTCTATGTCCCAAGTGCTGATTCTCCAAATCGGCATCGAAACTTCAGATTCAGCCAAATCGAATTGGGGACAGTGAATCAACGAATTGAATCACTGCCCCTGATTTGGGCCGAATCCAAATCCAAATCGAATAGGGCTTGCTTTCCACACCCCTAAAAGTTGCCCCACACACAGCAGGGGGCAACATGGGCCTCTGCCTTGTGTGGCAGCACAGCACATTATCATTGCTGTGACTCCATCTGGTTGGCAAGTGGACAGGGTATAGGAGAGGTGGAGCTGCAAGCTACTCAATATAACGCTGAGCCAGCCTGAGGGTGGAAGGTCACCCTATCTCTGGAGGAACCTCCCTTTCCATGGGTGAATTCCTGACTTACAAGATGTGGCAGGTGAGTAGAGGGGAGACCCACTTTGAGTCAGGAGGCTCCAAATGCCTAGCAGGTGTGCAACATCAGAGGGCCAGGGGGAGGCAATTGGCCTGGGGACTCAGATATTTGGAACCATGCCCTCACCACCGCTCCCACTTCCCCCTGTCTCTAATCGGCTCTGCCCCACTCCCAAACAGTTCCTTGCAGGCTGGAAGGCTGCCAGCCTGCAAGGGGAAACCCACAGTTTCCTGCAGTTTTTCTCCTTTAAAGAGGAAAATCTATGTTTTTCTCCTTCATAAGAGAAAATCCACATTTTTTTCCACAGCAAACAGAAAACCCAGAACCCTGCTTATGAGGAAAGTCTGAAAACCTAGGGTTCTGTAATCTAAAGAACATAAGAGTAAGGGGGGATTTGATAATAAATAGTCTTCAAATACCTGAAGGGCAATTAGAGAGGATGGAGATGGGCTTTTCTCTGTGACTAGAGTCCAGGACTAGGAGCAATGGCATCAAGCTACAGCAGAGAAAATTTAGGTTGAAGATTAGGAGGAACTTCCTTACTATGAGGGTGGCCAAGCATTGGAATAAACTACCAAGAGAAACTGGAATCTCCATCTTTGGAAGCTTTCAAGAGCAGTTTAAATAGATACTTGACTCGAATGGTTTAGTTGGGTACAATCCTGGCTTAAGCAGGGGACTGGACTAAATAATTTTGTGATGTCCCTATTACCAATAGGATTTCTGTACCAGAGTCCTAAAGGATAGACATGACTGCTCAGTCAATTTGGCATCAAGTGAACTTTATTAGTAACCTCTATACAATATTACAGACTTCCTCCCCATAATAAGACCTGCCAAGTGGCTCTGGAGGTATCTCAGTGATGACTGTTGGGGGTACCGTACCTCAGGTCTTCCACCAAGTGAGCGATATTTTGGAGCCTCCGTAGTCCAGCAGAGGATGCAGCAGCTTTGTGCGTCTTCCCATATCTACTGCACACTCACACACCCCCTCCTTTGCATTAACTAGTTTTTTATACTTTTTTTCTAAGGAATTGTCCAATCCCCTGGCACTGAGCCATACATTCCTTACATGGTACGCCAGTCCTATTCTACTTTTGGTCTTCTTTCCTTATAGAGAAAGTATTATACATTGCTCACCTAGCACTTCAATTACAGCACTTGCTTCTTCCAGTGTCTTATTAGCCACTCTGTAAAATGTTAATGCTTAGTTCCGGGAAGGCCTGGGCTCTTGCTAAGAGCCTTACCACAACTCAATTTGCCTGTTACAGTCCCTTCCAGCCCTACTTTCCTAAGAGCCTATGAAGCTGTATCTCATGGATATAAGCACTGAGCCACACCCTCTGTTGGGATACCTGTGTGCAGGAGAGCACAGTATGACTTGAGTATTTTTAACATAAATTCCTCATGCATTAGGGCCTAGCATTTACGAAGAACTTTTCCATTTATCCTGCTCTTGCAGTTCCTTCAAGGGGGAAAAAAAGGAAGAAAGAACAAATCTTGGCGATTTTACCTTCTTTAACCATTTATTATTTTATTTCTCTATTTTGCACTTCTTTCATGTCTTTTTTTCAAAACTAAACTATTTCAAGTTCTCCCTGTATGGAAAAATTTACATGCCTGAAAATATTTTTTGTCATTTGTCTTTAAATTCTTTTTATCCTATATACATTTTTAAGAATGCGGGGACAAGGACTCAATACAAAGGGAATACATATTACTGACTTATTGAATATATTTGGCATGATTTTATGCTCTATATCCTCACACATTGGAATGTATTTTTCCTTTGCAGCGAACAAATGTTCTTATGAATAGACTGATAAAAACAATGTCCCTGCCTTTTTCTCAAGAGGAAATGATAGGTCTCCCTGGCATTCTTTTTAGGCTTTTTAGTTTTGATTAATTTATATAATTGTGTCATCTATGAATTTCATCAAATTTCTGCTAACCCCTTTTTCCATATATAATATAGAGATAGATCCATAATCTTTCCTGTGAGATTATGATGAAAACTGATAATTTATTACTATTTTTTGTTTAGTTTTCTAGCTTGTTTTGTTTCTATTCTGTAATTTTCATTAATAGTCTGTTGTCTCCATGGCCTTTTGGGGTGGCCCAATAAATTATATTGAAAACATTTTCCTTTATGCACAATTTTACTGGCATGCTGAAAAATGACAGTAGATAGGACAATTATGATTTTCAGCTAGTCACCTACATGTCACCTATGATGTAACTATGTTTAATTAGTATCTCATTCTTTTTCTGAAAACAAAGAATAACAACAAAATAGAACAGTAAAACACAATAAGTTTTTGTATTTTTATTTTATAGAAAGCTGTTTCAAAAATATGGTTAACTATATACATTAATGCTATATACACAAGTACATTTACAATATATATACAATGGCAAAATATCCTTCCATTATATTTTATATGATGGTAAACATCATTAGATGCATCCATCTGGCATGCTGTTGTATCTGCTTCCATCTTAAACCTATATATTAGGAAATTATGGAGGTTGGAGATAGAAAAGACCTATTAGATCAGGGGCGGGCAATTATTTTGGGCAGAGGGCTGCTTACTGAGTTTTGGCAAGCCTTTGAGGGCCACATGACAGGCAGCCCAGGGCAGATGAATTAATTTTCTAAATTTTTTAGGGGCCCCGCGGGCCAAATAGAATGGCCTGGCAGGCCACATCCGGCCCCCGGGCCACATTTTGCCCACCCCTGTATTAGATCATTTAGTTCATACCCCTGCCCATGCAAGAATCTTTTCCATAGTGCATTTATTAGTGCTGTGTCTTATAAATAATAGCACTCAGTACTCCCCTTAGATTATTTTGCAGTCTCATGCATCAGACCTTCAATTAACCCTAAATATTCTCTCATTTTCATCCTATTATGTATATCTCTTTAACCAGTCTAAATAATTAATTTGTGTCTTTCATATTTCCATCCTCCAAGTGTTTGTAGACTATTATCAGATTCCCCCCGACTTTGGTCAGGTAAACTAAAGCAGAATCCCTCATTCTCATGCTTAGTGAGAAAGATATATTTAAGACTTGTGAGTCATCTAAAAACCAATAGGAAAGAGGCCTCAAGAAACCATGACTGTGGCCCCCCAGAAATGTCTGGGACCTACACTCTCTCCCCTGAGATAAAAGGGACCCTTGCTTCTATTCTTGCCCACCTACAGTCCTATTTAGACCAGGGTGGTCTGAAGTTTTAAAATACTTATTCCAGGGAGCTGGTATTACAGAAAACAGGCTTAGCCTATCACCTGCAAAAAAGCATCTCTAAAAAGGCTACCCTTAGGCTACTTGCAGTGCCTGCCACAGCTCCCTCCCTCTGCTCACTATGGGCTCTCTCACCCTGCTCCAGTTCTTCTCAGAGTCCAGATGATCTTTCTCTCCACGCTCTCTCTAGAGAAATTGTATCCCAGGTTATAATAGGCCTACAAGCCAAAAGGAACCTTCCCAACTCCTTTGGGGCAAAAAAGAGACTTTTCTTCTCCTTCTCCCATTCCTCCCTTTGTAGGGCAGTTGCATTTCCCCAAACTACAACCTGCTTGCCAATTCAACAGCATCACTGAGGTCTTGTTTTCTTGCCCTACGTCAGCCTAACACTTTATTGGATACAACCTGCATTTTATTTACTGATCATGTTTCAAATCTCTCTGTGTCCCTTTATATCATAATAAAGAAAATTTCTGTTTGAAAGACTAAAGATACCTATAGCAGGCTTTTCATTTGTTATCCATGTGAATGCAAGGACATAACATTTTTCTTGAATTTATATTTCTCTTAAATAATGTGCCTTTTATTTGACTACAGGGGAACCTTTGTTTTATTTTGGAACAAGTTATGTTCTGAACTACAGTATAACATGCACATATTTAATAATTTCTTATCTGAATATATTGAAGTGCCTTGAATTTTTTCTATACTGTGGGAATTTCATCAAGCATCAGAAAATTGTTCCAAAACCTCTAACCACTTGCAGTATCCTAGCTTACTGTTGCAAGCATCTGAACACACCATTAAGTATCATTACTGCCTACCTGCTTTTTAGTGTCCCCAGTATCCATGGCCTTTCTGCCGTGCTGCAAGGGCTTACTTTTACTCCTTGTCTGAGTTCCTGAGATCCTGTCTGTAACTCTGGTTGGAACCAAAAGCCGGAGAACTTCTGCCTTGGTGAGACTCTGTGCTGGAAGGAGCTGGTTTGAAACTGCCCTGCTGAGCTTGCAGCATAGGAGATGAAGGAGCCAGAGAACTGTCACCTTGCTGAACTTGCGTGTTAGAGGGAGGAGCTGGTGAATCATCATCCTGCTGATCTTGTGTGCTGGGAAGAGGAGCCGAAGGGATGGTGCCCTGAGTACTGGGAGGAGCAGCAGGTAAGCCACTGTTGAGACAATTCATATCTAAACTAGGGGCACCAAAAATAGTTTTGTGATTCCCACTGCTGTTACTTTCTGAACAGCAATTGGCTTATTTATTTAAAGTTAACATATTTCCTTCCTTAGTAGTCTCTTTTCCCCTGAGTCTCCTTGGCCTGATGGACTTGAAATGAAGATTTTTCTCTCTGTTTCAGACCTGACAGCAAAGCACTTTTAGTTCTGAGTTGTAGTCTATATTTGATTTTATTCTATCTCCTGCTTGCAATACCACCAAAGTGAATTTATTGTTGGAGTAAGTTATTACTAGAGCTTTAAATATGTTTCCTGGTTTCTCCTTTCCTTCATTTTGGGGATGTGTATTGAAGGAGCTGGGAATCTAGTATGTACTTCAAAGTTTTTTCCTAATTTTGGAAAATATCTTTGCTTTGTTGGCTGAACATTTTGGAAGTAATTGTCCAGGGATATTGCCCCCCATCCTGTTTTTTTAAAGCAGCTTTTATGCAGTTGAAATGTATTAGAGCAGGGATGGCCAACAAACATATGACACATGTGCTATAAGTGGTGTGGGCAGCCTTTGTGTGGCACACAGCAGAACACAGAGGGGACAGATAGCACAGAGGAAGATAGGACAGGAACCAGAAAGCAGAACAGCAGGTCAGGCAGGGACCATAGGGCAGGAAACAGAGTAGCCAATTAGGCAGGGGAAAGGAACTAGAGTGGCACTCAAGAAGGGTGCAGGGCTATTTTGTGGTATGCCTGCCAGAAAGATGGTCTTCACTGTATTAGAGGATGCCTAAATCCTTGTTTTTTTGTTTTATTTGGGGCTGCCGCTTCTGTTGTTATTGCATCAATACAGACTTATTTAAATGATCATGGAATGATTCACTTTACATTAAATAAAAAAAAATCACTACAAAGAGAGAATATATAACTCTATAATCCACAGAGCACTCATAGGGAACAGAGAGACCTGAACTCCAGTCCCTGTGCCAGTCAATATTTATATTAAATATTTGTTGGAGTAGGGAGTGTCTTAACCAGCAAACATGATGTCATGCTTTCTTCATCTCTCTTAGTGAAAATTTAAATATTCCATGGGAAGTGGAGCAGCTTCAACAAAAGGAACTGAGATAATTATACTGTAGAACATATAGCTACTTGGTGGATATGCCACTCTCTTTGAGAATATAAATTCAGCCCTGCTCATATACCTTCTCATATCCCGCATCCTGGGTGTTTGCTCCCCTACTAGATTGTGCAAAAGGAGAATGGTGCCGCCTCCTCCAACAGCATTTTGTGATTTAGGGGTGATTCAGATGCCAAACTCTTGAGGGTGGGGAGGGGGTGGTGGCGTTCAGAACTGTGAATCTTCAGTGAATACAGATAACTCTCATTAACCTGGAGCTGGGTGTCTCACTCTTTTTTTGGGAGCTGGGGCATAAGACATAATCTTCTCCTTGGCATTTTCTAATGGCTAGTTTAGGCATCTTCCCCCTTACAGGGCTGACTTCTGTTTATCCCCTTCTTAGGCACAGAGCTGTCCCTATGTATTGTACAGGATACCTAGGTGCAGTGGGTTATCATAGGCAGGAAGCTACTGCAGCTACTTTTGTGGATCTAGCCCAATGATCATTATTTAAAGTAGCTATATAATACCATTCATGTTCGATTAAAAAATAAGAATACATAGCTCTTCCAGGTTCTGATGAACATCCACTGAAGTCAGTGGAGGCCTTCCCATGGCTTTCAATGAGCATTAGATTAGACTTTATGTAGAATTTTTCAACCAAAAATATAAAAGCAATTTATAAAGAAGGGTAATTTTAAATATTTAATGAAAAGGGAAGATCTTTTTGAGAAATTTATGATAGTGCTGTATACAACTCCCCCCTGCCAAGGCTTCAGAAATATTCCTATTGCTACCAAACACAGTAGGTAAGGTAGCAGCAAAGCTTGTGGATTGTCAGGTCTAGAAAAAGGAGATGAGTAGGATTCAGTATTCTTAATAGAGACTATGTCCATTTTTCTTCTAATGTAAGTAGGGCTAAATCCTGTTTCACTTTATGCATCTAAATGGTATGTAGGTAGTCATGTTACTGTAGTCTGGGGTATTTATACACAGTTTATATTTCAACAAAGTCCATGCTAGCTTACTGACCATGTTCAGTGGGGCTGCCTTGTGCCCAGGCAGCTGCACAGGGAAACAGAATCATCCAAACACATACAGAAGGCTGGGCACATTCTGAAATTTTGATTGGAGAAAAACCATAAAGAACAGGGGAGGGGGCCAAAGAAGGACTCTCCTACCTTTAACCTTAATTTCAGTGATGAAGGTACTGGCCCAAGGAGTGGGAGACCCAGGCTTTGCTCACCAAGAGAGGGGGTTGAACCTGTATTTTCTGTTTCTCAGCGAAGTGCTCTAATCAAGCCAGGGGGGCCCAGTCTCGAGGAGGGATGAAGAGGGCCCGGACACTGCTTGGCTCATGGCCTGGTAGTCTGAGTAATTTGCAAGGAAGCATGAGATACAAATTCCACCCTCCTTTGGAGGAGGCCTAGAACCTTAGATTCATAGATTCATAGATGTTAGGGTTGGAAGGGACCTCAATAGATCATCGAGTCCGACCCCTGCATAGGCAGGAAAGAGGGCTGGGTCCAGATGACCCCAGCTAGATGCTTATCTAACCTCCTCTTGAAGACTACTTATCTAACCTCCTCTTGAAGACTTGGCTTGGTCCTGCTCCTTGGATAAATGCTGTAGCCTCTAGAATAATGAGCTAACAGGTAGGAGGGCCTTCCTCCTCTCTGTGCACAAGGTGATTTGTTTCACAAAAAATATGAATAATCAGCCACTGCAAGGAGTTTTCCTTGGCAGGTTTGTGTGTGTTTGTTTTCTTTTGCAGAAACCACAGTGTAGTCAAAGGCGACCGACAAACCATGAGGCCTCACTACCATCAGCAGCATCTTACTCATCACAGCCATGGCAAAAATGTCTTGTCTGTTTGTGTTGTCTTGTTATATGTTTTGTGTTTGTTTGTTTGATTTGTTTTAAGTTGTCAGTTTAAATAGATATGATATCATAAAAATATAATAAAAGTAATTGGTAATACCTCCTCTAAAAATTGGACCTGTCTGTGGATCCCAGACCAGAACACTTCTGTCCGGTTGGACTGGAAAGTTGTTCTGATATTTGAAACAAGTGCAGCAATTCTCGAAAGGTTTTATATTCTATTTGGTTAGCAAAAGGATATTTATTAAGGGTCATGTGTACTTTGTTTTTTGGGTTTTGTTTTTGTTTTTTCTCTGTACTTCTCTTAAGGATTTAAATGCTATTTAGAATATCAGTATAACAAAATGTGTGTAAAAAAAACAACAACTGCATTCAGAGTCATATTTTAATAAGCAAAGAGACAACTATACCATTGTAACTGTGCAAATCAACCTCGTTATGTTATTTTCTCTCTCTGCCCCCCAAGGCTTTTCTCTTTCAATATCTTTTAAC